TACATTTCCTTCTAGCGACTTGCAATGTTTGCCCCCTGACGATCCCAGAGTTCTTTTCGCAAACACGGGTATCCGATTACTGGCAACTCATTCATTGGGTAACACCGGAAATACGTAAAACCAAACGGATTGACAGTGTAATTTAAAGATAAGGGAAAATAAAATAATGAAATAGCGTAATAACAAGAAATTAGTGAAATGTTTCTTCGCGGATGTTAAGAACATCAGGATCAATTGTCCTGCCTTTTTGAATTAAAAAAAGCTTCCCTGGCCTTACGGATCGAGTAAAGTCCCTTTTGCACTCTCTTTCGCATGTTTGGATGGCTATTTGATTTTTGTCCCAATGGTCCATTTTCAAATGAAAGTTGTTGTAACGGAGCGCTATTAGTTGTCGTTTCATTACTGGGTGGTTTTTTACAGCATTTTAAAATAATAATTATATTTAAATTTTTGTGCGGAGATTACAGAGAAATGTAATGCCCTTTAAAGAGGGTACACAAAGCAGCTCGTTTTATGCAAAGTTTCTTAGGTGGCAAATTAATGTTCTTCCGAAGATTATCCCAGACAGGGAAGGCTACTGAGTAGAACCATTTCAATTAGTTACCATCATGGCAGTGGACCAACCAGTGTCAATCAAGACGTAAATGTGGATTATTGCAGCATGAGCTATTCAATTAATGCAATGACCTAAATAATATTTCTCAGACAAACGTTTTCACGGAATTTTTATCATGAAGAGAAAGAGAACAGAAACGCATTCGCAGACCTTAAAAGCGAGAGTAAGAACTTTAAGAACTATGTGTGTTGGACAGGAGGATGAAGTTTCTTTGAGGTAGTGACAACCAAGTATTAACAAATTCACTCCATACCTTACAGACTGTCTGTGTTGCAGTAGCGGCCCTTACGCAGTATTTCTTGATGGCAGCTTTCTTTTGGATGTTCGTCGAGGGAATCTACCTTTACTTGTTTGTAGGCAAGGTTTACAACATCAACAACAAGATGACCATCTATCATGTCATGTCATGGTGTAAGTTGTAGCGAAATCATTTGCTTTTGGGTTATTAGCTGTTAAAGCTTCTTAACATTGTCACGAAAGACTAGCCTTTGTCGTCATCACATGTATTGTCTTGTTTGTACTGCACATATGTGGCAGAAGTTTGCAAGGACCTCGATTGGATTTAAACGTAAGCTTGAGTTGAAGATTTACGGCACATAAAACTTGCTGTGGAATTAAACCGAGTATTTGTTCCTGTGTGAACTGAAGGTATGTGTATGATGTTGATGCCGGACAAACACTACTTTGAATCGCCACTTGAGTCCTGTTCTAGACACCGTCCTGTTTTTTGTTTTTTGTTTTTTGTTTTGTTTTGTTTTTTTTCTCATTGCAGGTTTTCCTGCTGTTATGGTTGCAATTTCGCTGAGTATTGCTGCAGGGAAAGATGGCATCCAGAGTTTAGTCAGTGACGAATAGTAAGAAATGCATTTCTGTAAGGCTCTAACCCCCTTTTCCATACTTGATTCATCAGGTTGCCGTATTTTTTTTTTCCTTTGCATTTAACAATTATTTCACGAGCGCGCACTGGACATGATGTGATAGATAGCCGACGAGGCGCAGAAAGCCAAGTTGGCTATAATTATCTCTTATCTAACAAGCGCGAGTGGAATAAAACGCCCCCTTCCCCTCAATAAAAATGTAGAAAACTAAACTTAAATAAGAATAAAAACGACGCAAAAAAGTAACGCGTACCCTTACAACATTTGTAGAACATTTTATAATGGCCAATATACCATGATGGCTAATTATAAGACAAATAAATAAAATAAACTACAATATTTAGAGAGGAAGCCACATCAGCCTTAGCAGGTTTTCATGCGGGCGCTCTATCCTGGTCGAATTGGAATTTGGAGATGTTTTTGTGGAGTGAGGAAAACCGGATACCTTGGAAAAAAACCCTCGGAGCAAGGCCAGAACCAACAACAAACTAAACCCACACATGGCAGCAGGCCGGAATCGAACCCGGGCCACATTGGTGGGAGGCGAGCGCTCTCGCCACTACACCATCCCTGCTCCATCCCTGCTCCATTCCTGCTTCTAAGCCAATGAAAACTCCTTAATTGCATTATCCAATGATCCAATTTTTGATAGAGATTAATAGCTTCTGACCCTTTTAGCTACCATCATTTAGACACATTAGAGGTGTTTTTTTGTTGTTTGCTGTTCCTTAATGCATTGTTGATTTTGGTTCAAGCTGCTGGATGACTTCAGATAACAATCTGATCTGGATGTTTGTTGTATTTGTGGCGATGATCGATGTTGTGAGTAAATCTTACCTCGGGTTTATCTAAAAAAAGACTGTCTTCTGTCTTAGGTATCTCATAATCAAATAACTCCACTTGCAATAAATCGATCGATCAAGTTTTTGAAGTTAAGATAAAAAAACCCAATCGTTTGTAAGGCTTTGAGCTCAGTCAGAGCTCGCGTACTATTGAAAGGCGAAGTAATATGTGTTTGTTCTCGGCCAAACAAATTTCTAGCTTTAAAAGGTAACTGTGCACCAGTAAAGTTGCTTTATTTACTTTTTCTTTCGCAGCTGAAAGCTCCCAGTCTGAGCTTTCAATCTTATCAAGTATTATAAACTTTCTTTATCTTTTATACCAAGGTTTGCATATCGATGCTCGTGCGAGTAATCAAGAAAACCACCACAATCCAACCAACAGAAGAGACTCACATTCAGCAGATACGGTAATTAATAATTTTCAACGAATACGAAAAGTTCCTCCCAGTTCTCGAGCAGAGCCGATCGATGATTGTATTAATAGCCTGCTTGTGTGTCTTTTTGATTTAACAGCGCCATTTATTAAAAGCAACTGAGAGTACTGATAACGTTGTCTCCTTGCAGACTTGACACCAAGGCATGCGCGGTGCTGATTCCTTTCCTGGGAGTCACGTGGTTGTTTGCTATCCTGTCGCCTCGGCACAAAGCTTTTGTTTACACTTTTACGATACTTTACTCCACTCAGGTAAGTTTTTTAGTCCTCGTTTTAATAATTTATTTATCATCGCAGACTTTTAGGAGCTTTTTTACGGTAAGAATGAGAAAATTCAGTTATATACAGATATTTTTTCCATGGTTTAAATTTTTGGTTTCCCGGAATACCTTATCATGCTATCTCTAGCTTATTATGATTAGTTTCATCCTTTACTTTCTTAGTAGCTGTTTGTCATGTGAGACAAGGAAAGACAAGAAAGTTGAAAAGTAAATATTTAACCCAAAAAAAAAAAAAAAATAAGAGCAAAAAAGCTGCCTTTTTTATCCTTATACAGATAAATGTAGAGCTGACGACAAAATAATTTGATGTTCTATATAAAATTAATGCAACCGTTCCTTTCTCTGGCAGGGATTCCTGATTTTTTTCTTTCACTGTGTGAGCAACATTCAGGTAAGAGTACCGACCTGCGAGCGGTCGATGAACTCCCTCGCCAGCATATCGCAATGTTCGAGAAATAAAACTTTAAAATGTTGGGAATAGCTCTATCAGATTCGCTTAATTTCACCGGAAAGCAAGTTAAGGAGCAGATATACTCAATGAGCCCAAGAGTTTCTCAAGTTCCACGTACAGTTTAATTTTATGTAAGGGTGTGATAACAGGTTTATGTTTAGGTTTTATGCTATGACACTTTAAAATATCTATCTTTAGTTTTTGTTTCATTGTAGGCTGTCTGGTGCTTTTAAGCTTTAGCCTACATTAGGAAAGACCTTCAAGAAAAGACTGACTTATTACTCGCAGTTTTGCTTGACTTTGTACAATTGTTTCATCCTCAGATTACAGAGCGTATCAGAGCAAGGGTCAACGTTTTCAGGATTGGTCGAAGTGCAAACGTTGGAATTTCTCCTTACAAAACTCCAACAGTTTCGACATATGTATAGACATAGTTAATTTTACTTGTTCGCACACTTAGATATCATGGTAACGATGCGTCCCATAGACTTGATAATTAAGCAGAGCCGTCCACACACGCACAAGCTAGTTTACAGGCGCGACAAGAAAACAAAATAACAAACTAAAAATGTACATTTGGGACTAAATATTAAACTAAACTAAACATTAAGAAAAAAAAAATCAGTTTAATCAAAGTGATTTCGACATTGTGATGGCCTTTTATGCAAAGATAGAGAAATTCAACAGAAGTAACGACTAAAAGTGGCAATCTTATTTGTAAATCTCCAGCTGCTATGGTATATTTCAATCCTGAGGATACAGATAAGGTTCTTGTAAAAGAAAACTCTCCATTGGTAGTTTGTCCAACTGTAAGGATATTCAGGTAATCGCCTGGGTAAAAGATCACAGCTGTTAACTTAACGTTTTGCCAACGGTTCTTAAATTTAGTCATTTTCACCAGGAAATCTAACACATTCTAGGAACAATTTCAAGTTTACTTAAACGAGACCCACTACGGCCAAGTCGAAGAAGCCGACAGTTTTGAAGGGTCTCTCGTTTTCTGCGTAACCTGAATTTCACTTGTAACAAAAATCAGGTCAAAACAAAATATTTAATACTGCTTTAACAAATTAAAATAAAGATAGTTGTTTTAGTTGTTGTTGGAGAGCTACTAAAAATAAAATAATGGTCTGCGCTTTCGCTGTCCGTATTTACTTTACCAAAATCGATTTCACTTTGAAAAGAAACCAACATTGTTGTTGCAATAATACCTCATTTTCTTCAGGATCAGTCACAAGTCCAGATGTACTTTTAAAGTTGCGGATATACAGATCCCCGTCATTCCCCTGAGAATCCACGTAAAGTCTGGATACTTTGAGAACTATTTGCGAGAGCAGATTTGGGATGTAATCTCATTTAATTTATATTGTAGACCTAAAAAAAGCGGTATTTCGAAAATCCGCAGAAAATTTTGAGAGCAAGTCGTGAACGTGCAAAGTTTGTTTAAAGTCTACGACTGTTAAACCTAACGCAGCGGACAGCATTTCCTCCTTGATCACGATCCATACCGCCTGCGCGTAATTCATGAACACGGTCGATTTTTTACAAAATTACGACTTTTTTTATCCTACTCGTCTTTGTTGGACAAAAGATTTTCCGTATCCTTGCAATGCTGTCTAGTAAACGGTTTCTTTTAAGTCATCGACGGATTGAATAGCAAATGTCGTCACAACAGTGGAATAATACGTCAATCATCTGTCATGCAAGTTGAGCTTATTTAAAAGATGATGCTTACCGTCCTCTTCCAACACAACCATCTTTCGCACAGCCATCTATACGGAAAAAGCAAATTGTCAATGTATGTCGGTGGTGTATGAAAAAGCATTGGAATCAGAATTGTTACCTTACCTCCGTTTGGCTAATTTCGAAGCAGTGAAGCACGCACAAGGACCATGAAAAACAATTTCAGACTGATGGCGGTCAGAACTCTCTTAGTAATCGTCTACTTTTGTAAGTATAAACTTCATCTTGTGTTGCTGACAATAGTGTTACTTATATAAGAAACCCACAACATTCGTTTATCTGAATTGGTCTCAGTTTTGCTTTGGATGTTTTGGTTGTCATAAGGTCTACAACCCCGAGCCAAAAGCGATGAAGCTTTCAGTTTACATCACACGGTTTTATATTATTCGGCTGTCGACTCATTTCTGCGCAATCAATTTTTTCCTTTATTCCCTTAAGTTAATTTTAAAAAAAAAACAATGGTTTCAGTTAAAACAAAAAAAAATGCTTTTGGAGTCTTTAAAGTTTGAGTTCAGCTTTAATTTTTTTCATAAAAATATCAAACATTTTATGAAGTTGGTTTGTGTTCAGGCGCTCACAAGTAATTTATATGAAAGTTAGCTTGAATAAGATGCAAACACAATTTATCAAAAATAATTATGCACAGCTCCAACTTCGCAGCAATTATGGTGTAAGCGTTAAACGGAGTGAAGCTCAATCGGCATAATGTGGTGTTTATAGTGAGTCTGGTTACATTCAGGCTATAGGAGTGTTTCTTCATGAATTGCCTGCTATTCAAACACTCGATGAGCAGGTTATGACAGGTGGCTTTTCTAACTACATTGTCTAGCTCGTCCTATTCCCTCTGAATATTTGAATACTTAACATTTATGAAGCTCAGGTGGTTTTCCGCCAGACTAAATTGTTTGGTGCCCGAAGAATAATGTGCATAGACATGTAAATGAAAAGCTACCTACAGTCGTGATCACCGTTATCATGGTTAATTTTAACTGTTTGCAATTCTCGTGGGTTAAACAACCAGTTCTAGCGAGGTATAGTAAAGCAGCTTTGTGGCAGCTGTGTCTGCAAAAGGCAAAGATTCACTGACACCAAGATGATATACAAACTACGGTTAAGAAATATTTCAGTGGCCGGAAGAATTTGTTAAAGTAAACGCTGTCTTATATCTGCTTTTTCGTGGCTTACATGAATTTTACGTTATCAACAAATGTTAATGTTCTGATATCTTCATATATAGTCAGTCCGACACATTTTCGTTGGCTGAATTCAATTTGTAATTATAATGAACGTAAAATACGATGAGAAGACCTATCTTCAGGTTAATTAACTTTTTACATTGACGTAAAGATTTGTGAAAAAATTAAATCTAAAATCGTTAAATGATCGCAAGATATATAGAAGAGGGGCTGTTTTCCAGAAAAGGTGTTATAATTCTGTTTAAACAATGGGCTCCCTGTGGATTTCTCAAGGTTAACTTCATAAGGGGACTTGAATTACAAATTAAAAGATCTGCATACAATAGTCTGTTTACATCGAAAGAGTGTTGCTGCTCGCAGGGTAGTTGCTCGATGGATTCGGTTAAGTTAAGCATCAGTAATTTTGTTGTACATGTAAGAGCTTGAAAAAGTTATTATGAATTCGTTGAACTTGATCAAAACCTGGATGAAAGCAAGAAGGAGAAACTCACAGCTAGCGACAAGACTCGTGGTTCGACCATGTAACCTCCAAAAAGGGTTGAAAGTGTTGTACTCCATCAAAACTTCATCCTAGTCATGACCTATTTTGGATTGCCGTTTGATCGATTTTGGTTGCTTCCACAGCAGGTTGTTTAAAAAATATCCCCACATTTTTTCTCTTTCGCTGGCTAGCGCTTTGTTTGTTTGTTTGTTTGTTTTTTCTGTTTGCCCTGCCAGAATGCTTTCCTTGGATCCCAATATTTCCCTGCAATGAATACTAATTTGGCTGTGAAATCATATTTCCCCGCGAATTTCAATGGGTTATTTTTAATTACTTGGGGTAACCGTTCCAAGCTTGTGTTTCATTGGTCTACTGCACGACCACGTTAACAACCTCTGATAAGATGTGATAACCTTGAAAAACCTTAGAAGACAATCGAAACTCGCTTTATTTTTGGCAGCTTCCCTTCCTCGACGCGAATTAATAGAGGACTTCGTGGACGTAGATGAGCCGAATTTTACGAAACGCGGCCACAATGTTCTTCAATTATCATTGCGTCAAAGCGCTTCTTTGATAATTCAAATACTACTTCTTTTAGGGCTTCTCGTCTGACGAAGATCGGCAAATATTTTATTTGTTATTTCCTCAGTAACCAATAGGAATATCGAGAAAGCCTGAACACACTATTGAAATCCGTCATCTGCTGATTGACAGGTGCAGTTAGTTTGGTCGTACGTGCGAACACGAAGGCAGGTAATTCAGTTTAGGAAACACTGTCAGTTTTGGGTTTG